TCTTAGTGGCTTTTGTACATCGGAATCAGGTCTCGCGTAAAATTCTATTTGCATTGTTGTAAATACAGCCTGTTTCTTGGAAGAAGAGACTTGAATATTGATGATGGTAAAACTTGTTTTCCTTTCGCCCGTAACTCCAAGCTCATTACATACAAATTACACGGATAGATAAGGTAGATAATGTGAGATAAACATTTGAAATTCAAGAACAGTCCGGCGAACAACGCATCGTGCTTTAAATAATAAATGAACGTGGATTGTTTTACGTCTATGATTGTCCAATTTGAAGCGGTGAAAGCAGGCTATTAAAATTGTGGACTAAACACATATTTGAGCGCCTATCTCAGAGAATATTGAACATGCTAAAAGCTTTTGAACGTTCCCCCTAAAATTACTTACACGCCCATTGACAACATTTGAGCATACACGATACATTCGCTTCAAATTGCACCTCATTTTTTGGCAACACACATTTTCCATCTCTAACTTGAAGAATCTTTTTGACAAAAATATAACGACACTGAGAATTGTGCTAAGAATCATATATAATTGTATCTACAATTCTTCCGATATATTTTTTAATGTACTCTCTCTAGACGCGTTATCTTTAAGGGTAACTTCGAAGTGCTGTAACTTTGCAAAACAAATCGCAGCCAAGATTTCTCTTTTTTTTAAATAAAAGGGAATAATAGAACTTCATTTGGATGCTAACAGCATAAAACAAAAATTTGACAAAGTCCGTGCATTTCGTGCATTTGTCAACATGACAAACATGGCCTTACATTTAAAGGGTTACAGCGGCGAGGATGCGTCAAACTTAAAATCAAGAAACAGTATCTTAAAGTAGAGGTTTCAAGCTTTAATTTAAGAAATTATCATCATCCCACGATGACTTTTCGCGGAGTTATCGTCGGTCGAAGTTGGCCAATTTTTATACAAAATTATTCTATCCTATAACAATTTTTTGTGTGCACTGTACAATCGCGCGATGTCTCCCGTCGACCACGAAAGAGTACAATACGTTCGCCCGCCACGAGAGCATAATTCGTATGTCGATACACGTATCATAGCGGTGGAAATGCGGCGCGAGGGGCGCGAAAAGCGAGCAGACAGCGCGCGGAATTTTTCTCGACGGAACAGGCCCGCGAGTTATCACCGGTCTCTTCAATCTTAATCGTTCCGCCGATAAAACAAACGGCGCCGAAGAGAGAAACCGCGCTTTCCCGGTACGCATAAATGCATCGCGGATGCAATTTCTCGAATACGCGAACGGTGCGCGCGCGTTCGAGCCGCGACGATTTTAAAGGATTAATGCGCGCCGCGGTGCCTCGCCGTTCGCACTCATGAATAAAGAAATATCTCGACGGGCACTCCACCCATAAAACGCGCGCAGTTATTTTAAATTCGTTCTCCCGCACAGGTCGCGTGCTCGAACACGTGTTCGAGTGTACGCCTCGGCTCGGCTCGGCTCGCTCGATAGTGTACGATTTTTCCCTTTCAACGCGCGGCCTTCTCGATGCCGTTCACGAAATGTGCCGCTGCTCATCGATTGCCGATTTGTCTCGACAATTAACGCAATTCAAAATTTATCGATTTAGAACAGATCCGAGCTCGTCAACGATTCCGTTAAAACTTCGGATTTCTTATTAGGATTGTTCGCGTTGTACAGAAATTGTTTATCCGAAATAGCAGCATTTCTAGCTTCGAGCACGTATTTAGTCTTCAAAAATTTTTTGGGTAATTATATTATTATAGAAATACTTGACGAAGAATGCAAGATATTTCCACCCCCAACCCCTCGACGATTCATACATTGATACGAAAATAACGTCATAATCTTAACAACATTATGACGTGAATTTTATAACGTTAACATACTTTATTATATATATTATATATTATATATATTATATTATATATTATATACATTGATACAAAATTATAAGGAATTATTTATTATTATAAGGTATAACTGCAATAAATTAGTTTTGGCGTAACTATTTTGAAATAACAAAAATGACGATGTTATTATTATATAAGTATTGATAATAATTACTAGACTTTGTATACAATTCAAGTTTTTAAGAGCTAGAGAATTGAACAAAGCATTATATTCAGGCTGACGGTTTTAATAAACATTTTTGTACGTTACAAATGCGTATTGAATATTTCGAAAAATATGTTCTGCTACGCTGCATACAGTGTCATTTAATAAATAATAAACTAAGCATACCTCTGCTATAAATAGAACTTCAAACACGCTCTCAACATTTTCCCTGGCTTCTGTTTACTGAGAAAGCCGGCGAGGACAACCTTATTTACCAACAGCTTTCCTTTCTCTGCGTTCTAACAATTACATATGGTATTAGAAATTGTAAGTTGATTAGTTGATTACTTCGAATGAAATTGATTTTATCCAGGACCGCACATTGAATTCTCGATGGAATAAAAACAAAGTTCAAAATGATTTTATACACAATTCGCAAAACCGCGAATGATTTAACAACGACCATAAGTAGAAAACTGACACAGTTCATTAACAGTTCATAAGGTCAAACACAAAACTGCAAAGACATTAGACGAATTTAAAGATACTGTTACATTATTTCCGACTTGTTGCTATTGTGAAAAGAGAAAAGACATTTTTATCTAACTTGTATTTTTTACAATTAACTTGGCCAATTTTTATGTTGCACATAGATCCGCAGTCTAGTAACAATATTACTATCGCAGACAGTAAATGAAGAAACTATAATGATTACATTGATTCTGAGAATCGATTTTACGTTTTTTCCTTAGAGGACTGATCTCAGTCAGTCAAGTTTTACGGCGGTTGTTCCGAGCGATTTTCTTACTAGAATTTTCCAGAATCTCGACTTATGCAATTTCTTTGTTTCTTTATTACCACCAGGAACAATGACACTCGTAACTGACAACAAAAACTCATTCTGAACTGTACGAAGTATTTATCGTGTTTCGCTGTTTCCAGTGCACTCGAAGATCCAATTATTATTTGAAATTGTAATTTCTTTGATCGATGATATACGGACGATAGTGTCGGCGAATCTGTTTACCTTCTCAATAGTGGCACAGAAAAGAAGTGTTGCGAACACAATGGCGGCCCACTACAATAGTGAGAAAAGCCAACTTCATGGACTCCAGTTTCTTGCAAGAGAAGTAGTTCGTACGCGTGGAATAATTAGTGCGCGGGCGTGCTTCTTTTAATTAATCTCCCTTGCACCTTGTTATCAAGCCTTGGACTCGAAATCGTTTAATTAATTTGTCAACGTGCTACATGCACAACTTGAAAGAAGTTCATTGTTCAATACGATAATCAATGAATTTTACTTCAATTATTGTATAACGAAGCACATTTTTTTGGCTATTTTTTATTATGTACAGCATAAAAATCATTTCTAACGTACATATTATAATTATATAATAATTATATATATATATAATAATATCGTATAATAATATAATATATATATATATATATATAAAATAATTATCATATTATATATTATTATAATATTATATTAAATAATTACATTAATATTATTATAATAAATTCTGACGCCAATGGACTCTACAATATTAACTAACGACTCTATTCATCACCGTCGCAATGATTACCAATATTAGCGACTTTCATTATGAACTTCTTGTTCCAATGATTCCGTTATTGTCCCCAGCATTAATGAGTCTGATCGGAAAGATTAACGATTACCACCTAACAACTAGTTATTATCGTAATGATTAATGTTTTCGATGATTAACATCATAATAATTGATAACGATGATAGCGACAATAATGATGACGATAAAGACCGAGGTCTTCAACGATGATCGCACCGTTGGCCATACGATTTAAAATCGAAGTAATCACGAAGACAGCGTCGACGATTATGCCTACTTGTAATGATTATTAGTTTCTGATGCATATCGTCGACATAATTGCCAAGCCGTAACGACCGTCGCCGTAAAAACTGGCGATTCCCACGGCTGTGATCGTTCCTATCTCGAACTATCGCAAAACACCGGCGCAATGATCGCGCTCGGTACCCATAATTCATTGATTCGATTACATATTACTCGAGCGAGCTCCTAAACTCGAGGTACCGATACAGTGTGCTCCCGTTATCGATCACCGTCGCCCGTTAAAACCAGTACCGCCGGCTAATTGCGCATCGTAAATTCGATCGAACGACCGAATTATGAATGCCGCCTTATACGCGGCACGAAATGAATTCGCGACAGCGACGGAAAGCGGCACGAAGCCCGGGGAAGACCTACCAACCCGCCGGTAGGGAAAAAGATGATCCGTGATTAAGCAGCTAACCGACGAAGTAAGTTCGCTATATCGGATTTCACAGACGCGGGGGCAGAAAACCGTTTAAAACGTCAACAAGGTCGAAACGCGGACCGGGTTAATTGGTGCACGAATGTCACGACACGGCGGATTTTAATCGGCGTGCGACATGCGACACGGGATCACGAAAGACGCGCGGCCGAGACGCGATAAATTCAAGGTAAAGTTCGTATCAATGGGACGACTTTAAACCACCGATAATACTTCCTCGCGAAGTCCCCTCTACTTCACGCCTAACGCGTTCCATTGCGATCGCGATGCGACGACGATACGCGCACCGCTTAGGCTCGCGTAGAAAAATTACCAGTCCCCCGATATTGTATGTCCATCGCACCGTGAATACACACGCGCACGCGAGAGATTCGAATAAAGAGCAAAATGGACTGCGCAGTCTTTCAAAAAAGAAATATAAAGTAGAAGAAGAAGAAGAAGAAGAAAGAGGAGAGAAGGTAGAGTGTCAACACTGGTCGATCGATAATGCTGACGCATACACGTTCCGTACGATCTAACGGTCCATTGATAAATCATCGAAGGTCAAATGGCGCAAGCCGTTCGCAAGGAAACAGTGTCAGGAAGGAAATACACAGAGCGGAGAAGAATAAGATACAGCGACGAAAGTCGAACTTACCTAACTCTTCGGAACCTGCTCCGCGGCAGAAAGATTGCGGTATCTTGTCCCGTCGGCGATCGTCGGCGATCACCGTCGCTCCTCCGTCCGATCTTTACGTGCACAAACTACAGATCGGTGAACACACGGTAGAGCACGCGTGATCCGCAAAATACCGAATATACTCTCCGGCAGCTTCTTCGTGCTCCGGCAAGGAGATCGAGACATATAACGGAGTTGCTTCTCTTAGCACTGTCACTGGAAACTTGTTACTCGAACCGTGACCGGCCGCGATTTCGCACGATTTCGATTTAGGGATGGGTCGGGCCGCGGACTACGGGAGGCCGTGGAAAACCGAGAGTTTCAGAGTCAGTGGGAGCTAGCCGTTGGGAAAACCACCCCCTGCAGAACCGGCGCCCCAACAGCCATGTGCCGCCCTAAACCTCCGCCCATTGGCCCGAACGAAATGTCCAGCGATTTCCCCCGGTGTTCTCTCCGTGAACCGTTCTTAATTCCACGTGAATGTTCGGCCCGTCGCGATACACGGCTTCGATGCGTAACGGTCGGTCGTCGCTCGTCTGGTCTCTGTTACGTTATCATGAACGACAACTCTGCACGAGCCATCCCTGCGGGAGCTCACCGAGAAGGGGGAATGGGAAAAGGCCAACTGACAAGACGTCACGTCTCCCGGGAGCGCTTCGATCTCTCGGAACTCACCATATCCACCGCACAGCTGCCCGCGTGTCCGCGCATAACACCGATGATCGCGTCAGGGCCCGCGGACAGCCCCAGGTCCCGACGTCCTCCGACAGAAACCTGCAAATTCGTCGGCGAATGACTCACGTATCGTCGACCGACTTCACCCGCGGTTAGAGAAAATGGCGTTGTACACTCCCTCGCGGCCGCTCGCTCTAGCAATACCTCAAGCTACGCTGATTCCCATCGTTGCTGGACAGCGCCGGTCGACCACCGTGGCCTAATCGCGAACTATCGCGCGCCACAATTGAAACGGAGTAACACCCTAAGACCCGGGAGACACCGAGGGACCGAACGGTGTCCCCCACCATCGATCACGCAGCACACGACACAACCAGTACTGCGGACACGTACTCTAATATCGCGCGCGTGATTCAAATTATACTATTTCAGATTTGTACAAGTCTCTTTTCTTTTTAAAGGTACTACATCTACGTCTCATACATCTGCATCTACATCTAATAGTTTAAAGTTTTCGTTTCCAAAACATTGTAAGAGACCAATGCGTCTAAAACTACGTGCCTGTTAAAGGTCAAAATTGTTTTTTACGTATTACTATTTTTCTACTTATTATTATTTATTCATTTAAAAGAAGAAATAGAATTTTGACGTTTAGAACAGATTTCTTCAAAATAGGCTTGGCAGTCAATGTGTTAACTGCTGACAATTTTAGTAAATTTTTAGCATACAAGTTGTATGCAACAAGAGTCTATCTATCTGAGGAGAACTATCACTTCTGAGGAGAAAAATTTTACAACAAATACATTCTTTTCAAACATGAAATGGAAGTCATTAGCTTCTTGTTGGTTCAGCGTGCTTTACACGCTTTCGTAATTAGGCGCGTTATTTTGAACACGAACGCACGACGATTACGGCGAAACTTGGTACCATATTTTTAGACGGTTGGATGAGAAAGCGGCGCGCAAGGGACCCCTCGTTTTGTACGTTTAATAAAAAACGCGAAATTTCATTAATAAGTTTTTGCTGATGTAATAAATAACAATAATAGCTGCTAGAATGAGCAAGAAATGATTGTTAACTTTGAAAGTCACTGGCCATGCATTATACCATGCGGAAAACAAATTCTGCATCGCAGATTTTGCCAATAAAGGAAGATCTTTTCTATCGAGGGAGCTAATTATATTTCATCTCAGATTTCTAATTTTCAAAATTAATTAGAAAGTAACGCGCACATCAATAAGTACCGCTTATTGGTTGCCATAACATAGAGAAGAAATTCAGATTTGCGAGGCATTATAATGATTTCTAAGCCGTACTTATATTCGTAAGTGGAATTGTTATGAACATTGTCGCAGCACCGCTGAAAAAACCCGTTACGAACACTCGGTTAACAAATCATTGGAGCAGTGTAATCTATTTTTGTAAGGCACTGTATTTTTCTATAAAACGCACTGGTGGCGCCGCTTACCGAGAAGTTCTGTAAATGATGATAAGATGGAATCTTTTATGAATTTATCCGAATGTACCGCGCAATGTTTTCCTTGCGCGATAGGTGAATGTGCTGTTTATTATTGTATAAACTTATAGCGACGTACTTGGGATTTATTGATAAGTTGTAAATAAATTTACAATTTAGAAAGAATTAATTTTTGTCATGGCTGACGAAGCGGAGCAAGTAAGATCATTGATTTGTTATTATAAATGTGAGTCTAACCTATTATAACCTAACATGCGTTTGTTTTAGGTCCCAGCGATAAATGTTAAGGAACCTTTAGATCTTATAAGATTGAGTCTCGATGAACGTATTTACGTTAAAATGAGGAACGAGAGGGAGCTTAGAGGAAGATTACATGTAATTGCTTTACTATGCAAGAAAATATATGCATGTATAAATCATTTTTGCTTTAATTCAATGTTAATTCCAGGCTTACGATCAACATTTGAATATGGTATTGGGAGAAGCAGAAGAAACGGTAACCACTGTAGAGATTGATGAAGAAACATACGAAGAGGTTTATCGTACCACAAAACGGAATATATCTATGTTATTCGTTCGTGGTGACGGCGTAATATTGGTTTCTCCGCCTAGCATGAGAGCGCCAATATAACATTTTAATTTGCATATGATGTTTGTATACGTTACAAACGTATAATATAGATTTAAGCTTAATATTACTATAATATTATTACTTTTTGTATTATCATTGAAAGAAGTCGTGATGTACGAATCAACAGAACAATCTGTATAGGACTACTACTACAAGTTTGTGACAAAGCTATAATTATAGTGAAACAAATTACATTTCACATTATATTAAAACAGGTACACAAGTAAAAAATTGAGAGCAATAGAAATTTTCTAAGTAAAATGGTAAAACTGTTTGTACTGTATTATTTTACAAAGTTCTAAATTACTTGATCGATTATGTTTTAGCTCGTAGTTTTGGGATTGAATTATTGCTAACGGTTAAATTGTCAGATCTTGGTGAAGTAGGATGCTCTGCTGCTTTTGATATTTGTACAGAGAGGTCTGTGATCCTTTGGTCTTTGAACTTCATCAAAGATTCGAGATGATTTACTTTTTGTTGAAGGGCGTTGATGATATCATTTTTTTCTTCTAATTCTTGTTTTAGCCGAACAAACACATGACGTGGAACAGTTTTGTTTGCTACTTCTTCGAGATCGAGTACTGATTTAACAATCTCTTTACAAGGAATGACAATACTTAAGTCGAACGATTTTTCCATAGCGCACAGTTTTCTATAATAAATTACGTACCTCCTTTCTCGGTATCCTCATACTTAGAATACAGATCAGCTCTATCCGCATTACAGTCTCTTAAAATCTTAATCCTCAAATCACTCAAAACTTTTTCGATAACTCCCGGCGTTGCATTAGCTAAGTCAGCGATCACATCTTTTTTTAATTTCATATTAAGTTTCGACAAAACCTTACGGTTTAGCGTACACCAATTTTCTATTTTTTTGGCAGTGCTATTTCCAGATATATAATTATGTATATCGACGTGTCTAGGATAATATTTTTTTAATAATTCCGCCATAAAAACTGTAATTAATCGTATGGAAGTTTGAATTTTTCCAAAGATAAACTTGTTAGGCCAGAACTATATATTTTCTTGTACCTGCGTCCGAGAAATCTCGAGCAAGATTTTTCTTCGGTTTCGAAAACGTCATTTGCTCGACCCAGGTATAAATCTCCTCCAAATTATCGTCATTTATTAATGCCACACTCATGTTTCGATTTTAATTCTCGCAAAATAAAGTATTTTAATGATTTTTATACAACAGAATTTACAGATGACGTCACATTTTCATCATATTACATTTCGTCAATCTTCGAATTGCCAAATTCCATTAGTAAAATAGCGAAGGCTGTATTTTTTAATGCGTGCGAATGTAACTTCACGTTGGTCCCGTGGTTAGAATTACATATTTGTTTCACAAATATCACCAGCATTTTGCGTCAGACGTAAACGTAATGCTGCTTTCGCACGCATTCCATCGGACGTGCACAATTAAATAATAACTCGTATTTAACCAATATCCTTCGTTTCACTATTTCATAAACGAAAACTTTGCCGAACAAATATTCAAAATTGTCACGGTTGTCGAGAAGAGCAACAATATCGGGAACAAGATATATACAATCTTTTTAATATATTCATAATATTCTTATTTTGTAGATACGGCAAAATAAAATTATTAAGATAAGTTTAGTAGGAAATGATTCATTTGAATAAATTCATATTCCTCGTGACTAAGTAAGATGTAACCGCAAACAAGTAGACTTTCCCTATCATGTTTAAAACTAGTTTCTGATCTTTCTACTACACCATTTTACTTTCTGTCTGTCCCGATTGACTAGGCACCTATATTTGTACTGTGACCTTTATGATAATGGTTTGTAAAATCCACTGCGACGTTTAGTAAACATACTTTGATATTAAATAAGGTAGATAGTAAATGCGCAATAAAAAGATTTTCGTTGAATAAAGCAACAAGGCCGAAGGCATTACGTATTTTTCTAAAGGTCATAGTTGATATATTGCCTATTTAAAATCCTGTTCAATTTTAAAAAATACTATTACAGTTATCATCCCTTTTGTAAGGCATCCGATGAATGATTTCTCGCTTTTGTCCGAATGGTAGAATATTTTGGTGAAATGTGTGTGTGTTATATAATCGATAATTTTTATTTCTCTACTATCTAAAATTTCCTTCGGTAGATTGAAACAGAAAAATTTCCGGGAATCGATGACGGTGTTCAACGTAAACAGAAGTACGTCACATGGGCCGAAGGTGGTGTAACACAGGGATTTCGAGTCTGCGTTCGCGCGTGGCTCGGCATTTATAGAAAAGGCGTACGCACGGTGGTATCGTCCGAAAGGCTCGGAGGATTCGAGTCATCTCGCACGTCTTCAGTGGCACGTTGCACAAATGTTGAATCGAAACGGAGGATCGAAAATTCCCGAAATAAACGTTTTACCTGTCAGCTCTCAATCAACGAAAATCAGATCAATGATCAGTAGAAAAATCGCGATTAGAAAAAATTAATCTTATCACCTAATTGAAATGAAGTGCGCAATGTGATAAGTGATTTACAAAACGTGTCACAGTTTTTAATGATTAAATTATCAAACTGAATCGTGTGAATTCAAATTGTGAAGTAGTACATTTATATATTATTCGACTTACGAAATCGTTTTTTTAACAGTGAGTGACCAGAGGAAATCATGACTGGAAAAAATAATTCCAAAGGTAGGCGAGTTCTTTGAACTTGTTTTTTTTATAGTTATTATCGTTTACTACACCGTGTTTATATTGTTCATATATCTTTTTAAAAATTTACAGTATTTGCTATATTATATTTTATTTGTAATATGTTACATTTTGAAGATTGAGTTTTTTTGCCCTCGGAGGTCATCGGAGATCATCTCAATAACCTTCAAGTGTCCTCCGCCTCCAGATCTTTACGTAATGCTATGATATTGATTTTTCTAAACTGAATAACTAATAAAATATTAATATTAGTAATAAGGGATATTTATTTTGAAAAGATTCATTTTTCAAACCGTTAATCCTTCATGGAAGCAGAACATTCAACAAGTGACATCGAGTCGAACGCGCATTATTAATCTGTAACTTATCAATTTTTATGCAAAATCTCACGTTTTTAGAAATTTGTAAAGACAAGTATCTGACAACAAATTAGTCTATTTTGACAGATTGATTTTGATAAGTTAAATAAATGGAGAAGTGGACAAATATTATATAAATAGAATTTCTTGAATTTAAACTTATTGTTAAAAAAGACTATGTATCGTATTACTTGAAAACAAGTAATTAATTACAGTCGTTTAAATTGTATTCGCGAAGTTGTAATAACTGCAGCCGACGCGACGCTTGGTTGATGCAATTCCTTTGCAATCGTAGTGACTAATTGTCGTCGTTCGTGCGCGCTTATTATCAATTTTAGTAAATTACCGTTGCTAAAATGTTGAATTTAAATAAGTGGAATTTACATTCGCGTGTTGATTTACGAAAGTGACGCTGGCGTGTAATTAAACAATTTTTAACGAATTTGCCACCTAAATATATCGATCAATTATCCCCCTTTTGTCGCCTTGATCATTCGGTTGTTAGTTATTTGGTCGGAGAGTTATTCTGGAACCGAGTTCAACCGACCCGTGACCCATTTTTCGAACGAAGATAAACGTGCGTAATAAAAAACGATGCTTTTCTTCGAGTACTAAACAAGCGTATCCATTACTTTAAGTGTCTCTGCAATTAATGTATCCATGTATCGAATGTAGTTTTAAATATTTCTCCATTATCGATCAAATAGAGAGAATGCGTTAGCGCTCGAGTCGGGAGAGCATCGAGACTAGACATTCTGGCGGTACTATCTCTAATACGTGTTATCGCATAATCTAATTCTTCATTAGATTTGGTAATTGCGAAGGTTTTGATAGAGGCTTCATGAATATTCATTAATCAAGTCACAAACGTCTGGATAATAGAACAGTTTATATGCAGAATTGGTCACGTACGCGCTATTTTCACTTGCACGTAACGCTTCACCTCGCTGGCAAGACCAGGTAAAGTCGAGGACCTGAAAGCCTGTTCACCTGTCTTCGTGCCGTTCGACACGTCGCGCCACGTTGTATAGGTAGAACCTTCGGATGAACCCTCGGCGATGTTAGAAATCGTGAAACTTCCGATTATGAAAATAAATACTTTTCATCTCCATATACTCCAGAATCTACTTATTAGTAGAACAAAATGGTCAAGTTATCCGACTTCAACATGTTCATCGGTGCGATTTACTTAAAACTCTTAGATCTTGCGAATGAAACGCACGAAAATATTGAAATGTAATCAGTAATTTAATAAAATGTTTTAAAAAGTCAATTGTTCGAGACGAACGCTATGTTCTTAAAAATGTTTTCAGAAAGCAAAGGCATCATGTTGCCAGCACGGTACTTGATGGCAGCGATGGGTTCTATTGGACTGGCAATAATTTATGGTTTCAAGGTAAACGTAAGTGTGGCGATAGTGGCTATGGTAAACCACACTGCTGTGAGGCTATCGGCGTTGGATAAAAATGAGTCCGAATTTGCAACTTTACTTACGGTGGACGAATGTCCGCACGAAGGTGGATCCCTTAATATGACAAAAGGTGTTGTCGAGGTATACAAATCTTGTCACTACGAAGGGAATATGAATATTAACACTAAACCTACCACGGCGGTCGAAATGGCCGGTTCCACATTTTTTATTTCAACATTTCTGGTATTCTAGAGCCATTTTCGTAGGAAATGATCGAATAAATTTCTTAATTCAAGCACACATTTATTATAAATTATTATACAAATTATTATCTTATAAATTACATTATAAATTATTATAGTAACATGTCTAAATAAATTCAGTCTTGTAATTCTTATAAAACAACACACGTCAGTCGCTTTTAGCGTTCGGTTGGTTTAGTGTTAAATAAAATGATGCCGACGGGAAAGTATAATTATATCGTTTTCGTAGGATGGTCCATTTGTGTGGAACGAACCACTGCAAGGTCTGATTTTATCCTCGTATTTTTGGGGGTACATGGTATCACTGCTTCCGGGTGGCAGGATGGCCGAACTGTTGTCCGCCAAATGGGTAATGAATGGATCGGTACTTCTAAACGTTGTGGCATCTATATTGTCACCTGTTGCTGCAAAGCTCCACTACTCTCTTTTCATTGTGTGCAGATTCTTGCAAGGGATCGGCGGAGTTAGTATTAAAAAACAATATTTTACCAAGTAGAAAATATTACCATTTTATATTTATACTATTATTTACCATTATATGGTAATAATATATACTATTATTTACCAAGTAGAAAATATTACCATTTTATAAAATATTTTACCATTTTATTGCAGGGTGTAACATTTCCTGCTATGCACGTTATGATTGCTAAATGGTCTCCACCGAACGAAAGAAGTGTCCTCGCTTCAATTGTTTATGCAGGTATTATTTTTTTAACGAGACTTTTTGTAAATTAATTTTTAATTTCAAAGTTTCTATTCTATGATTTCACAAACTCTACTTATTTTATTTTTAATAAATTTCTTTAAAATTTATTTTCGTTATTATGCTTCAATATTTTTACGAATCGTTATTTTATTAAAAACGCTATCTTTTGCTTAAAATAGGAACAGCACTTGGAACGGTAATCTCCATTTTATTAACGGGAATATTAGCCGCAAATTTGGATTGGGTATGGATCTTTTACATAGAAGGTGCTCTTTGTTTGATTTGGTGTACTGCGTGGTGGATCATGGTCGAGGATAGTCCCGAAGAACAAACCAGACTTATTAGCCAACAGGAAAAGGACTATATCATGGAATCTTTGGGACATGGAAAAAATAGCAATGAACGTAAAGAGGTCCGATAAAATTCATGAAATTGACGTTAAATTTTTACGTGATGTACACTTTAACTTTGAGTAGAGATTATATGCACTTCAACGAAATTCCAAACATACAAATATTTTTATTCTTTTAGAAATTGTCAGTTCCATGGAAGCAAGTGCTAACATCGAAACCATTCATGGCAATTTTAATTGCTCACTTCTGCAGTAATTTTGGCTGGTACATGTTGCTCATTGAATTGCCCACTTTCATGAATCAGATTTTAAAATTCGACATGAGTTCAGTGAGTACCTCTACCGAAAATTGAACAAGATCTTAAAATTCATGTTATTCGAGTTAAATATTTTTTTCTCCAGAATGCTACCCTCTCCTCTATGCCATTTTTATGTATGTGGATCTTTACTATGGTGCTCAGCAAAGTTCTCGCAATCATACAAGGAAAGAACTTGATCACAGTTACAATGTCAAGAAAAATTGGAACATGGTTCGGTAAGTTTTATTGCTGTCATCGCTTTTGCATCTGAAAAATCGTACGAATCTGGTTAAATGTAAATTAAAATACTTTTTTTCGGCAGCATCCATTGTTCCGATGTTCTGCCTGATAGGAGTTTCATATGTTGGCTGCAATAGGGCTTTAGCAGTTGCATTAATGACTGTTGGAGTAACTTGCATTGGAGGAATGTACAGTGGATTCTTATCAAACCATATTGACATTGCTCCAAATTTTGCTGGTACACTCGTCGCGATCACAAATTGTGTTGCTACAATACCTGGATTTGTAGTTCCGATATTTGTTGGAACACTGACTCAAGGAAATGTAGGTTTCAGTAATGAAGCAATTTCAACTATGATAGACGAATTTGACAAAAATTTAACTAATTGATCCGTCGAAAATTTTCTGTCACCACAGCAAACTATAGGAGCATGGAGAGTCATATTCTTCACGACTGTGGGATTGTACATAATCGAGATGTTAGTTTATACTATCTTCGGAAGTGGAGAAGAACAGCCTTGGAATAGAACTAAACCAACTGATGAAGAAACAAGCGATCAGACATTACCACTAAAAGATGACATTAAAAAGTAGATTTTTGTTGGATGTGTATAATATTATTCAATTGTTTCGTTTCATTTTTGACACACATAAAGTTCAGTATTACTTTTCCGGTTTTGTACTTACATAGATAAATTTCACTTTAACAATTATTGTGTGAGAAATGAAAAATTGTTTAAAGAAAAGATTATCACTGATAATCTGTTTTTACATGACAAGACTTATAGATTTACTATACTCAAATTTTACAATTACTACTTTAAATATTACGTCATTAATTACGTACTTACAATATTATGTACATTTTATACAATTACTTTTGGATGTTATATAATTGCTCATCGTATTCGTTCTATTTTACAAAAATACATAGGACCCCAATTATTACCAAGCGTGGGAACAGCGATATGACCGTATCTCGTTCCTATTTCTGCAAATTCGTACACATATCGTAACGGAAATAAAGCTTCTGTCATGTCCCTAGAAATGAGTATATCGCATGAAAAACAAATACAAATAATATGATTAATAAAATTGTTTTCTAAAATAGAAATGTAATATACACACTTTACAACCATAATATGATTAGTCTCTTCCCAGGCCTTTTTCAATGCCACATGCACAACACCGTCATTTTGAACAGGACTTAGAGCACATGTTGAATAAACAACAATACCTCCAACGCTCACTAATTTTAATGCATTTCTATAAAGAGATTAAATATTACTGATAAAAATAATACAAACTGTGCCCAGCTCCGTATATATACATATACATAAACTAACGTTAAAATCTCAGATTGTAGTTCTGGAAGGCGTAGTCTTTCCTTAATCCTGGTAGATTTAAAAATATTATTCTCGATAGAATGCAACGAATGTCTGTCCGTCGTGCACGGTACGTCAACTAGTATCTAAAATGTATAAACGTGTAAATACTTTATCTTGAAGAAGTATCGAAGATTTAGTAAATATTAATACCTTATTATACAGATCTTTCTCATCGATTAATCGAGCATCGTTTTCTGTTACGATAATCATTTTCTCCTTACCGGTATTGAACAGATACTGGGTTATAACAGTACGTATTTTATTTGCTCGAGATTCTGATACATCATTAGCCACCAATAGATGTGGCATAAGGGTCTGAACAATAGCTAAGGATTTACCCCCTGGTGCAGCACACATATCGAGAACAACATCTCCCAATTTGATATCAAGAGCTAAAACAGGCAGTAAGGAGGCACCATCGAACAAATAATAATCTAAAAAACACAAATTTTAGATGATTCATGTAACTATTAATAGGAGATGATTTCAGTTAAATCTCAAATATAAACCTGAAACTCCAGTAGATCCTCTTCTAGGAAATAGAAATGTCTCCTCGCTTCCTCTTTCAAATGCATATGGGTGTAAGTGTTCTGGGAATGATATAGTAGATTCTTTAACAATATCTACTTTGAATTCAGCTGCTTTGTTATAAAATGTATAATATTCGGATTGTAGCACATAATCGTCCAAACCTGTACAATAAATTTATGTAATTAAGATCTTAACTTTTATTCCATCTAAAAATCTAATTTGAACTAACCCTTCAATTTTGTAGCAGGTATGTACTCGTGAAGTACAGATTGGTCGAAAGACGATTCAATAACACGGTTAGTATCTATTTCAATCTCGTTTAAATCTCGTTCTATAGATTGTAATTTTATAGGCTGTAATGCGTCGTCTAGTCTAATCAATGATTCAGTATCTTCTTCTAATTTTACTGATTGCAACGAATCGGTACATCCTTTAGTATAAAGTGATTCTATGTCTGATAATTCAGAGTTCTGTATAATAGTATTCATGGGATTCTGTACATTTTTTGGCTTCATAGATTCAATATCTTGTTTAATTACATCTTCTTTAAATACATCATATACTGACTTTAAATGCATTGCACCCATGGACTAAAACAAATCCTAATTACAGGTATTTTGAATATTAATGAATTTCAAAACATACATACTTTCAACTCCGAATGTGTCCTTTCTGTATCACTAAAATTATTAATCACTGCTACATGTTTATTTCTTTTCATAAGTAACGAAGCTCGCATGTTTGTCCATAGATCCCCATAAAGTGGTCCATAATATTCATCAAAGTAATCGAGTGCTTTATCTCTAGCAGTTGTCTGTTTCCTAAGCACAGCCTGTAATAAAACATTTAGAATCTATTAGTTCACAGTATATTTTTCTACATTAATTAATAATTACAGCAATCAAGTATTTCACTATTTGCTTATAATACATCGTTATTTATGTATATATATATATATATGTGATAACTTGAAACATTTTTTTAATCAGTTAACTATGCAAAAATCTTTCAGCGGTAATGATTTCGGTTCGCACGCAACGTAAATATACGAAAAAGAAGTGACAATTATTCAATTTTTCATACTCAACATTCAATTTTTCGTCGAACATGTTTTCAACCAAGCAAGAGACGTAACGAACTTTCATTGATAATAAAAAGATACAAACCCAATGAGTCGAACCGTGCTTGTCCCTAACGGATGTTGTTACTATTCTAAATTTCGATTTAACAAATAAACGCGCCATTGTTTTACAACAATACGCAACCCTTTAAATCATAATCTGTTCAGGTTATGCGAAGGTTCCAGTAAACTGAATACAGAAATATGAGGGCGGCAAAGCTCGTTACAATGTGCCGCCACCAGATGGCGTCACCGGTGCATTCGTGCATCTTTTAAACGCAAGAAGTGGTCGACGTCGATTAACCGTTAGCGAGAATGGTGTAAAAGAAGAAGGGCGTGAACCGGCGTGAACTGCAGACACAGGTGAAGCAGGACAACCGACGAATCCACCCGTTACGGTACTACCGGTACTACTTGACTTAATGCTGTACGTCACGTCTTTCTCTTTCCCTCTCTTTCTCTCTCTCTCTCTCTCTCTCTCTCTCTTTCTCTCTCTCTCTCTCTCTCTCTTTCTCTCTCTCTCTCTCTCTCTATCTGGCTATCCCTCTCCCTCGCGAAACTCAAACACTTATTTCTGCGTAGACCTTTCTTTTCCTACTTTGCCGACTTTCTTTATCGCGAGCCGGGGTTACCCGTCGGTGAAAACAAACCGAAACAGGTACACGCATATACATACCGTGCACAATGCGTGTATCAGGCTACATCATTATCAGATACGAGCCACGACAAGGAAGCGACACGTATTTGTCGTGACATCGAGATGAGAAACGTGCCGAGCAAGATGGAGCGAACGGGGGATGGTGGGGATCGGGAACGGACACATCTTTGCGCTCCCCTCTTGCGAAGGCACTGGTGCGCTATGAAACGTGGCTGTTTCGAAAGTTCCAACTCGGAACAACCTATTTTAGATGCTATAAACCGTTCCCCGACTTTAAAATTGTTTTCGGCCGACGGCTACGAGCCCTCTGTACCCGAACAATGGGAGCTCGGAATGGATATGGCCCTGCGAGCCACCTAGAGAATTTTCCTAGTGATTTACGATACGCTAAACAACGGAATCCCTCGGTTCCCCGAAGTTCGACCGCGAACATCATAGATCTTCGTTACGGGATATCTTTGACTGCGGGGCCAGGACCGCGATGGCGGCCGTAAAAATAATTTCGCCTGATCCATATTTCGTGTCAACAATGCGAGCCGGAGGAGGAGGAGGAGCGGAGAGCGAGGCCCGACGCCGATAATCTTGTTACCCTCGAAACGCGTACAACATATACATACCCGGTGAAAGTCTCCACTGTACGGTAGACGGGAGTTCAGTGTTCTCGAGGGGAACGAAACGAGAACGTCGCGCAGGAGATCAGCTCTTTTGCTTCGTGGAGATCAGCTAGTCCATGGGGTGCGGTAAACCCTATTGGCCCCGGCGTGTGTGTGTGTGTATGTGTGTACACGTGCACGCACACCGTCCCATCGGCACGCACACGAACCAGCGGTCACACATGTGTGTCCTGACGCTTTCGTGTGTTCCCCCCCATTGTCACACGCATACAGAAAACTCTTCCTCTCGATGAATCTCGACGACCCGAATCGCTCGACGGCGAGGCTGGTTTCGTGGATCTCTTCATGAGAGGCACGTCGTACGCGATTTGTCGGGGCACGGGGTGTGACGGGGACTCGAGGCATCGTAAAGGCAATGCACTGTAAGGAGCTCACGACGACTATACCCTCCTCCCTCTCCGCGTCGCCGCCCTCCCTCTCGATCTTTTGCCACCGTCCCTTTCTCTCCCTTCTTTCTTCGCCCCCTCTCTCCCCCTCCCCCCGTACACCCCTCTCTCTTTCTTTCCCTCGTTCCGTCTCTTTCTCTCTGTCGCTCTTATCAGAGACTCGACTGCACGNTCTCTCTCTCTCTTTCTCTCTCTCTCTCTCTCTCTATCTGGCTATCCCTCTCCCTCGCGAAACTCAAACACTTATTTCTGCGTAGACCTTTCTTTTCCTACTTTGCCGACTTTCTTTATCGCGAGCCGGGGTTACCCGTCGGTGAAAACAAACCGAAACAGGTACACGCATATACATACCGTGCACAATGCGTGTATCAGGCTACATCATTATCAGATACGAGCCACGACAAGGAAGCGACACGTATTTGTCGTGACATCGAGATGAGAAACGTGCCGAGCAAGATGGAGCGAACGGGGGATGGTGGGGATCGGGAACGGACACATCTTTGCGCTCCCCTCTTGCGAAGGCACTGGTGCGCTATGAAACGTGGCTGTTTCGAAAGTTCCAACTCGGAACAACCTATTTTAGATGCTATAAACCGTTCCCCGACTTTAAAATTGTTTTCGGCCGACGGCTACGAGCCCTCTGTACCCGAACAATGGGAGCTCGGAATGGATATGGCCCTGCGAGCCACCTAGAGAATTTTCCTAGTGATTTACGATACGCTAAACAACGGAATCCCTCGGTTCCCCGAAGTTCGACCGCGAACATCATAGATCTTCGTTACGGGATATCTTTGACTGCGGGGCCAGGACCGCGATGGCGGCCGTAAAAATAATTTCGCCTGATCCATATTTCGTGTCAACAATGCGAGCCGGAGGAGGAGGAGGAGCGGAGAGCGAGGCCCGACGCCGATAATCTTGTTACCCTCGAAACGCGTACAACATATACATACCCGGTGAAAGTCTCCACTGTACGGTAGACGGGAGTTCAGTGTTCTCGAGGGGAACGAAACGAGAACGTCGCGCAGGAGATCAGCTCTTTTGCTTCGTGGAGATCAGCTAGTCCATGGGGTGCGGTAAACCCTATTGGCCCCGGCGTGTGTGTGTGTGTATGTGTGTACACGTGCACGCACACCGTCCCATCGGCACGCACACGAACCAGCGGTCACACATGTGTGTCCTGACGCTTTCGTGTGTTCCCCCCCATTGTCACACGCATACAGAAAACTCTTCCTCTCGATGAATCTCGACGACCCGAATCGCTCGACGGCGAGGCTGGTTTCGTGGATCTCTTCATGAGAGGCACGTCGTACGCGATTTGTCGGGGCACGGGGTGTGACGGGGACTCGAGGCATCGTAAAGGCAATGCACTGTAAGGAGCTCACGACGACTATACCCTCCTCCCTCTCCGCGTCGCCGCCCTCCCTCTCGATCTTTTGCCACCGTCCCTTTCTCTCCCTTCTTTCTTCGCCCCCTCTCTCCCCCTCCCCCCGTACACCCCTCTCTCTTTCTTTCCCTCGTTCCGTCTCTTTCTCTCTGTCGCTCTTATCAGAGACTCGACTGCACGACCTCACTCATACTCTCTCGTTCTATTGCTCGCTCGACTGATCTCTCGAGGAGGGCGCGTTAGGGCGCTCGGCCGGGCTACTCCGTGCGCATCTTTAAACGTTTCTTGATTCGTGCGTGTACCGAAAATTTCATCGACACTGGACCCGCTTCCTCTGCTCCTGCCCGATCCACCTCGTCCCTCCCTCCCTCCCTCCCACCGTCCCGCCCTCCCGCGGGCACTTCGCCGCCGTTGTGCACCGCCTCGCTTCACCAACCCCGTATTAAAACGGTGTCATCGGGCGACGATCGCGAAGTAAAACGGCGAGGGCAAAGGACTCGGAAGTTGCGACATCCGGTACACAATACTGCCGCTTCCTGTCTCCCGTGACCCTTGATCCCGCTCGGTCTAACCCACGTGACCCCGGCTCCACGTACGTAATTCTCATTTAACACACGTGTGGCGGAGCGGGAGGGGGGGGGTCCCGTGGCCGGTATGCAGAGTATGTCGAATGTATTTTCACTCGGAACCCTTCGCGGTGAACCCTAAAATCGGCCATTTCTATGTATCATCGACGAAGACCGCTCGGAACGAATCCGACGGTGGTGTTTTCAACCGGCCGGACAGGAGCGACCGCTTTCGAAAGTGGACTTCAACTTCATAACTTTGGTGATACCGATAAAGAGACTGATAACGGTAATACGGTACTGCGACGGGTATTAAAGAGACCAAGTTTATTTGTCCGCGGCCGTTCAGCGTTCCGGGAGCGACAATAGCGAGGCCTCCGCCGGTTCACGGAGTCCTTTTGGTTTCGTCTTTAAAGGATTCTTAAACCCTTTTGTATTATCGGAAGCGTGAGAACACGCGGTTCCGTGTGTTAACCGGTAGTGTATCAGCCATCGTAACAGATTCTGTACAATGGGTGGTTGATTCCTTTCTAAATCACTAGGTTTCCTCGCGTCGTTGATGGACGAACCGCGGATACATTCACCGGGCCGACGATTGTTCGGCGGTGAACACGTGGTGCGTGCCGGCGACGTGGAAAAAAAGGGGGGAAAAACGGAATATGTTAGGATGAAAGAGGAGAAATCACTCCTGATTCCGTAGTTCTTTTTCGTTGTCACCGTCCTACGCTCCGTTCCCGCACCGAGAGAGTCTCCCGTCACGTGCATGCATGCGTGCATGCGTACACCGCGGAGCGGAGAGTGCGTACATGCGGGGTCGTTGAACGAGCAGGGGGTACCGAGGACAACAGTAACGACTGCACCAACCCACTTACGTCGACCCTATACAAGTCACGTGCACGTACACTGCTCGGCAATAATGGTCCCCAGAGGGTGTGACCTATTCTATATGCTGGATTCTCTCGCGCGATCAGCCTACTTGCTGGTACCAACGTGCCTTGGTGGTACCCGACGTCTCCTGCGGAGAACCTCGAACGCCGTGGTTATTAATTTCAACGTTTCAACATTTCGCGTTACGAACGTTGTTACGATTCCACGCCTCCCGACGATTTTCGACGCGGTCGCACATTGGTACCGTACTGTTTTTTCCGTCGTCGTGCAGTCTCGGGACAATCCCCGGAGATCTGGCGTCAGAAATGTATTCGTCGTTACCGAAGAATTCAGGATGATCTCCAACCTTTCGAAAATGTTGAAATGCGCACGCGGAGATTTCGTTCCTTACCGAGAATTAACGCTAAATCCGTCGAGCACCTAAACATGACTGGCCAATGATCGCTTTACGACTATCAGACGGCTGAATTTGTTTAGTTGTTTCGCAATTTTCATTATAGCGAATGCTTCGTTCAAGGAACATTTGTTCAGTTATTATTTACGAAGGATTCTTTACAATCCCGGCGGCATTGAAGCAAAAGTATGCATTCACATTTTTTGATGTTGTTAAATATACGCGGAGAATTTTAAGAAGCACAACGAGGCAACTTCTGAGGCAACT